GTCCTTTTCTTCTCTAATATTTCTGTTTAGCACTTCCAAGGTTAACACAAACAACAAAGGTGACAGTGGACACCCTTGTCTTGTTCCTTTTCTTATATCAATAGAGTCCGTTAATTCTCCCTCTATCATTACCTTTGCCGTTTGATTATGATATATAGCTTCTATTGCTTGGATGAATTTTTTACCAAAACCCATCTGTTCCAGCTGTAATAACATGAATCGCCAATTCACATTGTCAAATGCCTTCTGTGCATCTAAGAATATCAATGCCATTTGTTTTTCAGGGTGTGCCTCGTAGTAATCCAAAGTGTCCAAGATTACTCTCATATTGTCTTTAATTTGTCTCTTTGGCAGAAATCCATTTTGATCAGGGTGAATAGCATTATTTAGGTATTTTTTAAGTCTTTCTGCCAATATTGAAGCAAAAATTTTATAATCTGCGTTTAGAAGGGAAATAGGTCTGTAATTCTTGATTTGTAATAGGTCGGCCTCCTCTTTTAGGATAAGTGTAATATAAGCTTCTGGCCATGATTTAAGTATCTTCTTCTTTGACATAACTTCATTCATAACTTCTAGCAATGGAAGATTCAGCGATTCTTGTAGTGTTTTATAAAATTCCGCCGGAAGTCCATCTGGGCCTGGTGCTTTTCCATTGTTTTGCTTCTTAAGTGCTTCAGTTAACTCCATCATCGTTATATTGCTTTCTAACATTATTTCAATCTCTTTAGGTATCCGGGGTAGGTTAGCATTCTGTAAGTACTGTTTAACTCTTTCCTCATCAATATTCTCTTGTGTGTATAGTTTCCCATAATAGTCTTGAATGATTTCCTTCTTCTCTTTACTACCATAGCAAACTTGGCCTTGATCATCTATTAATTGCAATATTTCCTTGATTCTTTCTCCTTTCTCAGTTTATATGCTAACCATCTACCTGGTTTATTTGCATCTTCAAAATAGTTCTGTTTTGCACCTCTGATTTTCTGTGCTAATTCTTCTTTTTCCATTGATCCCATTTTATGTTTAATTATATCCATTTTTAACTTAATGTCCTTCTTCTGTGGCATTTTCTGTAACTCTTTTTCAAGTTCTTTATACTCATCCTCTAATGTCTTAGAGCCTAGTCTTTCCATGGTATTTCTTTTCCTTGTATTATCAAGCCTCTGGCATATGTCTTCATTGTATCCCATACATTCTGTGTTGATGTGTCTTCTTTTTTATTTTCTTAAAAGAAAAAAGCCAGTTCTTTCTCCATCCTCTGTATGAAGTCTTTTTCTTTTAGTATAGTATTATTTAACGTCCATCTAGATCTTCTTCTTTGTCCTTTCCATTTAATTGTCATTGGATTATGATCTGCCCAAATACTTGTTTCAATATTTATTTCTTGTATATTGGCTAACAATTCTGTTGACATCCATATCATATCATATCTATGGACCATGATAAATGTCTGTTTGAATAGAAAGTGTATTGTTTAGTCTTAGCATTTCTTTCTCTCCATGCATGTTTTAAGTTTATTTCATCTGTCATTTTAAAAAGGCATTTAGGGAGAGTCTTTCTGTTTTGTTTGTTGTTTTCTGTGTTGTATAGTCCAATTTATTGTCTACAATTCCATTGAAGTCTCCCATCATAATGATATTAGCATAGTCCAGTTCAATTATTTTCATATGTAGTTTTCTATAAAATTCTTCCTGGTTGTCATTCAGGGCATAGATTGCGATCAGGAGTGTTTTCATATTATTGTCCATTATTTCCACCATTAATAATCTTCCATCGTCATCTGTATTGATCAATTTCGCTGGGATAATATCTTTAATGTATAAAACCACTCCTCTTTTCTTGCATTGTGTCAAAGAAGTAAATATTTTCCCTAACTTTGGCTGAATCAACAGCTGTTCATGTTGCTTTTTAATATGTACTTCTTGTAGGCAGATTATATCAAATTTTAATTTCTCTAATTTATGGAAAGTTTTCCTTCTTTTAACAGCTGAATTAAGTCAATTTGTGTTAATTGTAATAAGTTTTTTCTCTTCCATGTTTATACTTTATAAGTAGGTTTAGCAGCTCTTGTAGATCTTGGTTCACATTGTTCCTTAACTTCTACCTTTCTGCCTACTGCACCTTCTTCTTTTTCAGTCGCTATTTGGCAATCCTCTTGGAATTCAATTAGTGACATTTCTTTTTCTGTCTCCTCCTCTCTCCCACCAAAGTATTCAGTATAAAACAATTCAGCTTTCTCAATTGAGTCAATTCTGTGTCTCTGTTCTTGCCATGTAAACATTAAACCTTCTGGAATCAGCCATCTATAATTCATCTCTTTTTAAAGTAGGATTTTAGTCAGGAATTGGTATTCTCTTCTCATCTCTCTTGCTCTTCTGGGCACTTGTTTCAGGAACACAATCTCCTTATCTTTATATTTCAATGTTTTCTCTCTTGCCACTTGCAATATTTGCGTTTTAATGGCTTTCTTTGTAAATCTGATGTGAACTTCTCTTGGTAAGTTATTTCTCATTGCATATCTTGTGAAGACTTGAAAAACCTTGTCTATTCCATCCATCATCTTCTCTTTGGTTATTTCCAGAGCTTCAGCCAAGATTTCTATCATTATCTCAGCTAAGTTTTGTCCCTTTTCTTCCTCTATGTTTTGAAATCTGAGATAAAATTCTGATCTATCCATCTCCCATCTCAGCATCCCACTTTTATCTTGTTCAACCACTGTTAATCTGCCATCAGTATCTCCAATCTTCTTATCTCTTTGTTTATCTCCTTCAATTTTTTTGAATTTCTCATCATATTTCACCCTCATTTGTTGAATATTCTCCACCTTTTCATCAGTTTTTTTCTATTCTCCTTTCAATATTCTCTGTTCTTGCTTGTATGCTTTGGATTCCTTGCATTATCATCTGCAATGTCACCTTTTCCTGTTCTTTTTCTTGTTGTAACATTGTCTGTATTGAGCGTTGTCCTCCAGATGGTGAAGAGGAAGAAGTAGGAATTGAAGAACCAGCCGCTGTTAGTTTCCTGCTCATTTCGGACAATTCAAAATCTTCAGGTTCTTCTAGACCTTAATCCACTCGTGAAATAACCAATTGTAAATCCAAGTAAAAATAGTGGAAAAAAAGAAGCAAGATAGAAAAAAAAAAGATTTTTTCAGGTTCTTGTATACTTTAATCCAATCAATTAGTTCAATAGCAGTAAAAGCTCAAAAAAGGAAGAAAAAAAAACCATAAACAGAGAAAGGAAAAAAATGTTAAATCTTGTAGAAGGCAGAAAAATAAAAAGTAAGAAAGTAAAAAAAAAGGAATTTCTTCAGGTTCTTCAACACCTTAATCCAATTAAAAAGTCTCAGGTATGAAAATGTATACAAAAAAAAGGAAGCCACAAAAGAAAAACCAATATGGAAGGTAAATAAAAAATGCCGGAAAGGGAGAGAGAGAAAAAGAAAAAGCCTACTCCCTTAAAAAAAGAGAAGGAAAACATTAATACTAAGACTTTTCCTTTAAAATAAAATGCAAAAGTAAAAATAAGGCTTCAAAAGCAAAAAGAAAGACAAAAGCAGGTTCCAAAAGTCCAGAGATCCAAATAACTATTACAAATAATAAGCTGATAAGGAGGGGGTGTGAGGAATAGCCCAACTTAAAAAAGAGAAAAATAACACACTGCACCTATTTAGTTATCCAAGGCTTTTGTTAATTTTTATAGCTCTCTTCTCTAGAATTTTATCAACTTTTTTCTGTATACTTCAACACCAGACTCCAGCTGCTGATAGAAACCCAGAAAAGCACCTGCAATAACACTCTCCCATGCTCTTCCCTCAATCTTATCAGACAGGCTCAGAGTCCTTGAAAAGAAGTCTGAATTCTTTCTCAGCTTTGTCTGGTGGAGAGAGAAAAAAAAAAGAAACAATATTTCTAAGCCTCTAGTTGGCAGTGTTACAAAGTTTCCTCTGTTTTCACTTTCCCCTCCTTTTCCAAACAAATTATTATAAAAAAAATAATTAATTAATTAAAAAGAAAAAAGGTTTAAGGAAAGAAAAGGCTAAAAGGGGATCTCTAGCCTAAAATATTGTAAAGACAAAAAGGAGAAGAGACAGAAAAGAAAAATAAGATAGAAAAAAAGACCAGTCCAGTTCAAAGTAAAAAATCGTATACAAAGAGTCCAGCAAAAGAAAAAGAAAAAATTAATTTGACTTCCCGTTTAAAATCGCTGCTTAATTACTAAATTACTTATGTCTGAGATTTTACAGATTCTTTCTTTTCCTTAGGGTGTCCTTTAAAATCTTAAAGTAAAGAAAAAATTCTCACCAAACCAGCACACTTTCTCTTTCTATCCCCTTCCGTTTCAGAGCTGTCCCAACTTCAGCAGTTTTAATGGCTGCCTCTTTGCCGCTGGCAAAAAGAGCTTCTCCTAGATCTACCAGGGACTTTGCGGTATCCCTGGGATCAACAGGATGCGGTCTTTGCATTCACCGCCTCTTCGGGACGGTTTATATCCAATTGGACCATCCAGGAGCAAAGATATTGGCAGCGATCTCAGACCTCCAAGATTGCATGCCGTATTGTCGCAACGCCAGCTCCGCCCTCTCCAACTCCAATTTCTCTTTGTCTTTTAATGTAAAAAATATCTCTTGATTTCAGCAGAAAAGATAATCCTTGACTCTGGTAAAATAGCATAACATTCAGGAAAGTGTTAAGTGTAAACAATATATTATTTCCAACACAGGTTTCTGCTTTGGTAGGGCATCAAATTCAGTGATGGTGTGGGTTCTGTGAATGCTAAAATTGTGGAGAATCTGCTGTGTAGAGATGATTGTAGAGATACCTTCCAGTCCTTTTGTGAATATATGCAGCTGTGGCCAAATGATAGTTCTTCATTCCTTTTTCAATTGCTTGAAACTTGGAGAATTAGATTTAAAAGAGGGTTTCACTGCTGTTAAATGACCCAATTCAACACCCTCTTTATTTTTCCTTAAATGCGTTAATGATTTGCAATGTCTTCTCCAGCATCACAAACAGACTCAGGTGGATATTTATGAGAAGTTGCCAGTTCCTTTTGGCTTGGTTCGTTTTGGAGTGGCTCCTGATCATCCAGAAGTCAAGGTTGGTACTATCTTTCTTTTTGGCATCAGCAGTCACAAAAGAGATCTACCAAGGTGAAGGCAGGGGAAGAGCTCCTGAAATTATTCCCTTTCTTTTCTCGCCACCTTCTTTTCAAGTCCATTTTTGACTTGTCTTTTGATTTGCGTACAACCCTTAGAAAATATGAGGTATTTTGTGAGTGATAATATCATACTATTTAAGCAAGATTTGGAAATATGTACTAGACTGTGCAAAGCATTCAGAAGAGGTGTATTCTGTTGCACAATACTATGAAAGAAACACCTCCTTGACTTGTGATAGTAGCTGGGCCTTTTGCACACTTTGTGCAGCTGCTTCCAAAGCTGTCCTCTTTTCTCTCAGGACAATACAGTATATGCTCATGTACCTACAGCCACTTTGCTTCATTGGTGGCCTCAACAGGGGCTTACACAGACCACAGAGAACAGTTTTGGAAAATGCCCAAAGAGTCTTCCAAAAAAGACACAGCTGCTTTAAACAGTTTGAAAAGCGGAACTTTGTTTGTCTTAACGCTTTTCGCAAACCACCTCTTTTGAACAGTTTGCACAGCCCTAATATTTCATGGCATTCTGTGGGTGTGGTGGGGCTTTTTTTTATGCCTGATGCTTTGCTTTTGTCAGATGGAATGGACCAGTAATAAATATCACTTGAGTTTGGACAGGTAAACTGAGGACCCTGATTGTTGGGGGCAATATGCTGACTCTGCTTAGAGAGGGCTGTAAAAGCACTGTGAAGCGGTATATAAGTATAAATGCTAGTGCTAGTGCTAGTGCTAAACCTGATGATAACACACTGTGTTTTCCTGTAAGCTAGATATGACCTTGTCTCCAACTAGAATGTCTGCCACTGGCAATAGGCCATATTATCTTCTTCCTGTGCCTGCATCTGGAAGAAAAATGTGCTATTTTAACGGAGCTGACTGGCCTGGTGCCAGCCTGAATCGCAAAGTGAGCTGCTGCTTGAGATGCTGCAAAGTCATCCGGCCTGGCCTCATTCTTCTGCTGTAGCCTCGTGTCTGGGCGCTTAGCCGCTCGGGGACAAAGGAGTTGCCGTTCAGACGGAACCTCTCTCGAACTCTCTCTCCCCCCCAGAACGTGATCAACACATTTACACAGGCAGCCCACTCTGACCGCTGCTCCTTTGCTGGGAATGTGACTGTGGGGAGGGATGTAACTGTGGAGGAGCTGCAGGAGGCCTATCATGCGGTGGTCTTGGTAAGTGTTCTTGTCGGCAGTTTTAATAGGCTCAAGAGAAGGAATAGCATTTGTGAGGACGTGAAGGTATCTCAGGAGCGATCAGGGGTGGGATCCGACCGGTGTAACTACCGGTTCGGTGATTTACGTTTGCGCGTGTGAAATATCGTCAGCTTGCTGCCTGGACAGCTGAGCAGTGCTGCGTGTGGGTGCGCAGCGGTTGAAAAAGCACTTTTTTCCTGCTTTTTCAACCGCAGCTGTGCCGCGCAAAGCAGCTGAGGGTGAAAAAGCAGGAAATAAAGGTCAGGTAAGAGCCCGGGCAGGTGGGTGGGCCAAAACAGCAACAGACACAGAATAATGGATGGAATCTGAACAAGGAGAGATTTAACCTGGAAACAAGGAGAAACTTTTTGACAGTGAGAACAATTAACCAATGGAACAGCTTGCCCTCTGAAGTTTTGGGAGCGCCATCACTTGAGACTTTCAAGAAGAGATTGGACTGCCATCTGTCAGAAATGATGTAGGGTCTCCCGCTTGGGCAGGGGGTTGGACTAGATGTTGTACAAGGTCCCTTCCAACTCTGATTATCTGTATCTGTAAAAAGGCAAGAACAGTGAACAGTATTGAACCACTTATGTCCATTTGCTTCAGAGAGCAGTATCTATAATACACAACCAACATAATAGCGGCATATAAAAATCTCAGATCGGCACACTGACCTTGAATTGAGGGACATAATAAATGGCCTTTCAGTGCTCTGGCAACTCTCATGGGGATTTTCAACTATAAAGGAAACCCTTCCCAACCTTTATTCTGCCACAGTTATGTATTCATTGGGGGGCGGGGGGGAAGCTGTCTCAGAAAATAGGCTGTATAATATGTATTTGAGCACTGATTTGCATGCTGTAAAGCTTGTTCAGAGTTTTGCAGCATAAATTCAGCGCCAGAAAAATAAACACAGATGGCTGATCCTTCATTTAACATCTTTATGAACATATTAAGTAAATTTTACAATACCAGTTGTAGATTTCTCCAACATGGAGCAAGCCGAAACAAAAACAGACATGTTACAGGTTCAGAGCAGAGCTCTAGTTTTCAGCAAACAAGCAAGCAAGTCACACAGCAGAGGAGAGACTTTTTAATAGACAGACTCAGCGCCTAACATAGCTTCATAGCTGCAGAGCTTAATATAGAGCCACGCCTAGGCTACTTCTAGTTTCAGTTTCCAAACAGTCTTCATTGGCTGACTTAGTTGCTATGCTTCTTCATTGGTTGACCTTGTTACCATGCTCTTTTCCAGTTCATGAATATACTCTGACAAAGCTTATTTCCCTTCTTGCAGTGTTATGGCGCTGAGGACAATCGGAGACTTGGAATTCCTGGGGAAGAGCTTGAAGGCGTCTACACGGCAAGAACCTTTGTAGGATGGTACAATGGCTTGCCGGAGAACAGAAATGTACGAATTTTAGTGTTGTCCCTCTTCTACCTCTCAAAGGTTGTCACTTGCTCAAGCATCCGGGGGGAAAGTCCTCCAGTTAGAAAAGAACACATAGATACCAAATTAAATCCAGAATGGTTTAACGACTGTGAACCTGTTTGCATATCTTCAGGAAGGTATTATCCCTCTGTTTGCATCTTCCATCAGAGGGCTAGAAGAGAAGCTCTGGGACTTGAGAAAAAAAGAAAACTAAAGATGCTTGTAGGAGTGTTTGCCATCAGGTGTGGAACATGGCAGGATTCAATTTTTTTTTACTACCGGTTCTGTGGGCATGGCTTGGTGGGCATGGCAGGGGAAGGATACTGCAAAATCCCCATTCCCTCCCCATCCCATTAATCTGCTTTCCAGCTCCATTCTCCTGTGCAGGGCAACAAAAGAAGACCCAGCCAATCAGCGAGGACTCGGGAGGCAAATAATAGTTGGGGGCGGGGCCAGTCAGAGGTGGGATTTGCCGGTTCTCCAAACTACTCAAAATTTCTGCTACTGGTTCTCCAGAACTGGTCAGAATCTGCTGAATACCACCTCTGCCTTAGCAGCCTTTGCGATGGACGTGATTATGTTCCCTCTACTTTTGCCAAGCAACTTCATTTGTGAACAGTTGCCATTGTAAAAATAACGGAAGCTGCAGGGCAGTTTTGGCCCTTCAGTGCTCTTCAAATAAGTAGTATTGACAGGATAAACTCAGAAATGATTGGGAAGGGGTATTTCCTTATGAAACATACCACATCCCTTAGGAAGAAGTGATAAATATGAAGGGAAAATAGCCTTGTCCTTGTAACTTTTTCCTTGACTTGCAATGCTCTTTCCCTGCAAGACGTCTTTTGAAAGTAGAAATGTTTTCCTGTGTGTTCTGTGTGATTGGACAGAATCTGTATCCTGGTGCATCTTAAAGGATATGGAAGAGCTTCCAGCATCTCAAGTCGGTCCTGAAATTATAAGGCAGAAATTCTGGTGACTGACTTGCCTTGGACAGAAGACTGGGAACGAGCCACTGATTTGTAGGCTGTAAAGCAATTTCCCTTCTTCTTGCAGTGTTGTGGCGCTGAGGATAATCGGACCCATTAGAATTCCTGGGGAGGCATGAGTTGAAGGATTTACTGTGAAACGTCTCTTTGTTGTTCTAGCTGAAGCCAGACTTGAACAGTGAGACCGCAGTCATCCTAGGTCATGGGAATGTGGCGCTGGACATTGCACGGATTCTCCTATCGCCTCTTGAAATCCTTCGGGTAAGTTGTGGACGAGCCCTAGAGTGTTGGATGATGGCGGGGAGCCAAACGGGGAGGGTTGCTATCGACCTGTCAGAAAATACCCTTTCAGGTAACGAAGGGGTGTGGGCAGGATCCCTGATTCAAAGACCTATCGGACTGCAGCCATCCTGGAGTCTTGCCTTTCAGGAGAACGTTTGCCTGTTTTATTGGAGGGGAGGGGAACAGCTCTTGCCTCTCCTGCTGTAGGAGTGGGGGTTGCTGCATGTGAATCATTCTTCCAAAGCCCTTCCGGTTTGAAGACTTCCGGTTTGCTTCATACTCTGCTGCCTTTCCTTCTTTAGGGCCATTACTCTCTCCTCTTTCCCTGCTTTTCCTCGGCCCTCCCTCTTTTTTTTTGCCTTAAAAATATGGAGCAATTTTTTGTTTCTCTTTCTCCCTCTGATGCTAGAATTCTTGGGAGCTGTGAATAGTTTTTGTGTCTCTAGGAAAGGCTACCATGAATTCCCAAGTTTCTTATGCCTTCAGGTAGAAGGGGGAAAAACTGCAAACCTAAAGCCAGTTTGATCCTTCACCTTTGCCTATTTCACCCCAGACCTGAGGGTGCTGAGTCTTAGGCTGTGGAGGCAGAAAATTCACAAAAGTTATTGCCTTGAAGTTTTAGGTGTATCTCTTTGCTGAGCCTTCAAATGTTGGTTTTAAGTCTGCTTAATGTATGTTGCTAGCTGCTTGAATTCTTTTTAAAACAGGGAAATGAGATTAAAATGTTGGTAATAAATGCATCAAGTGTTCAATTTGCTGTTATTTGTGCATGTTGATGCCTTTCCCCCCCCTTACATTAATAACTAATTTCCATCAGTATTATTCCCTCTCCCTCTTCCTGCTCTCTCCTTTTCACTAGTTTCCCTTTCCCTTTCCATCACATTGTTGATGTGTTGTCAACAGATGCGGCATCGTGAAAAATTGCTCGAAAATGATGCATGCTGTCGTACCAAACTGTTCTATTCCGATGGCATTCACCTGAGAGAAGGTCTTTGCGTTGAGTGCAATTTGTTTGAGCAGATGGCTGCTCGTTCCATGTTGCCTGCCCTAATCCATGTTCCTCCCTCCCTTCTCCTAGAAAACTGACATCACTGAAGAGTCCTTCTCAGCGTTGGCCAGCAGTAAAGTCAGACGGATTTATCTTATTGGCAGAAGGGGTCCCCTCCAGGTGGCTTTCACAATAAAGGTAAAAGGAAAAAAGGAGGAAGGGTAGTTCAGTAACAGGTCTTGACTTCCAGCAAGATTGTTTGTGCTACAAGGACAAGTATTAAGACAGAAATGTGTAAGAAGAGGCCACTGAAGAGGCCAGTGAAAGCCCACCCAACTTCAAAGTGTTACCTTGAAGCCCTCTGCAAAACTGCTGTTGACTGATACTGTAATCTATATATATAAAAGCAAAATACCACTCACGCATCATCACAAAATCTCCAGAACTGTAAAGCCTACAAACTTGAAAGTTGGCATGTATGTTCCTCTTGGCTTCTAGGTGCTCACTAAGAAAGCATTAGTATTTTGTATATTATTATTAACACGCTCTGATACTAAGGAGTTCTACTCCAACTCACCACCTGAAAATCTGAAATCTGTTCCAAATGCAAAGCCCAAGCAGAGGAGTGGAGTTTCAGTTTTAGTTTCACAGCAGCAACCAGCTTTAGTACAGAACAGTTGAGCTAAGTCACACTCAGGCTCCTTGCGGTCTCTTTCTTGCTCACACAGCAAATACTGTTTCACTTTCCAAACAGCCCTCAACTCTCTCACACACTGACAAGACGCTAGCCAGATGAATACCGATGGATGCTGGTAGGCAGAGGCAATTTTTTCCTCTTATTTTCCTCCCCAAAAACTAAGCCCGACCGTTAGTTTCATAGCGAACCACGGGTATCGAACTAGTTGACAATATAAACATTGTGAAATACCGAGGGAAAAAACACATGCATGTAAGATAGACCAAACTAAGAAATAGATACAGTTCAGCGTTACATTGATTGTAATAACTATAGTGACAGATTCCGCAAGTCTGAATGGACTTGCACCCCACCCACTTTATGTTTTCTCACATTACTTTCTTAGCTGAGCTCAAGACTCTCTTATCTGACTGTTATTGATAGCACTGATAGCCGCTCTTCCTCCTGTTTGCTCAAGGTCTTTTCCTATACCCTCTACAATATATGACTATTAATTATTTTCATTTAATTTTTTAAAAATATTAAATTTATGTGCCGCCCATCTCCCTGCTACTCTTTTTGGTTCTGTTTCCTCTCACTTTGGGGAGAGCAAGTGCAGCGTACCACTCAAGGCACAAAAGAAGCATCTACATTGTGGTCCCTGTTAAGATCAGTCACTGACTACGGTTTGGAAATTGAAGTAGCCCCATCATGTTAAATGCTCAAGCAGGAAGTGAATGTACTGCTCCAAATCTAATGAAACTGGTTCATGGTTCTGAAGGAAGAAAGGATACCCAAGGTTCACCTCACACTTGTTGAGGTGGTAGGACTGCACTCTTCTTCTCAGGGTTGTTCATGGCACCTGTGCATCAGCTCACCTGATTGAAATCATATGATGGATGCCTACTATGAGTATCATCTTAATTGGTTTTGAGATGTCGTCTTATTTTGCTTTTTAAAGTTTTGGTTGCAGCTGCAAGGATTAAGCAGAGTTAGGAAACAATCTGGGTCGGTCACTGGAACCAGAGGTTTAGTCTTCTGAGCTTTCAGACTCATGTTGAAGCCCATCCCCAGAGGACTTCTCTGTAGCAGAGTATGTGCTTTGGGCTATTCCCTGTGTGGTATTTGTATGGTGCCTGGTTGTGTGTGGCTTTTTAGTTGTTGATTGGAGTATTGGCTGTTGATTGGAGTATTGGCTGGCTTAAAGTCGTTGGCTGTTGTTTCAGGATTTAGTCTGGGTATATTGGGTGCATTGCAACAATAATGTTGCAGGATCCAATCTGGGTGACCGACCCAGTTTGGATCCTGCAACATTATCCTGGAACACATATATTTGCCTTGATTTATGGGAGACAGGAAAGCTTTAGATCCAGGCATACTATAATTCTCAGGAGATTCTTCTTTTACTCTCAATAATACCTGCCCAGGTGACATTATCTAGCCAGGTTTGGCTGGTTTTGGAAAACTAAACCTATCACCCTCCCTGTGTTTCAATGTTAGCCTTCCTGCATCACCTACATTTTTGCCTTGTGTTTCTGTCTCTGAAACCTTCAGGAGCTGCGGGAAATGATCAACCTACCCAGCGTTAGACCTTTCCTGGATCCTGCCGATTTCAGGGATCTTGGGGATGCCATTAAAGGTGAGGATCAGCTCGTTAATAAAGACCCGTGGCCCAAAA